TTCCCGGAGCATCGGGCCGGAGAGCGCACCGTCCTCCGGGCCGTGGGCAGGGACGGCAGGGCGATCCGGGGCTGCAGAGCCGGCCTGCGGCCCCGCCGCCTCCTGCCTTTGCAGTCCCTTTGTTTTGCAGCAACGTTTTTGGTTCGGTTTGGTTTTTTTATGTTTTGCAGCAGACTAAGTTTGCTGTAGGGGCATTCCCCCTGCTCAGGCCCACCCGCCGCACGCAGGCTCTCAGGAGCCAACGCATGCAAAAAGCCTGCCAAGTTATTCAGTCAAGTAACAGCGGGGGAAAAGGCAAACTAACAAATACATTCCCGCGGTAAAAGTGAGCTGGCTAAGTAAACCCGTCCACTTTTCCCTTACAAACCCACCTGGGGAAACCAGCGCTGCCAACAGCGGGAGGACGGGAGGGAAATACTGCACAGGACACAGGGGTCTGCCACGGACAGCCGACGGCGGCCCTTCCCGGGGGGACCCGACCCTGGGCCCGTCCCCCTCCCACCCAGCTCCTGCTTGTGCCGGCGCCCAGCCCAGCGCCTACGGACCCGGGTCCCCTCAGGTTTCCCCCAGTCAGCTTCCTCAAGCAGCCGCTGTGCTCATGCCTTCTGCAACAGGTCTGATCTGCAGCGCTGCACTTAGCGGGAAAGCTGAGCGCCACAGGCGCCCTTACCAGGCACCAGCCCGCACCGCCCGGAAAGCCAGCCGCCCCTGGAAGTGGTTTGGTTATGCTGCGAGCTGCAGTGCTTGACAGGATGGAGCTACCTGGAGAGGACGCGGGTTCCCTGGCACGCCGCGAGATGAGCGTACGAGAGCTCCGTTATGCATTCGGGTGGAAAATGGAAGGGCTGACGTTTCCAAGCAGGCCAGATTATCAAACGCAGGCTGGTTATTTCAGCTAATAAGGGGAAGAAATGCAGCACGTCCTTTTTGGAACCGACACTTCTGAGTTATTTCAGTAGCGGCGTGGGGCAAGGGGAAGATTTATCACACGGTCCCAGCTGCAGTTTGTTTAGAGAAGTGATAAACGATCGCCTGTCACAGCGCAGCACTGCCGCCACGGGAACCGGGAATACAGATTTCTCTATCGCTTTGACCAGGGCGCCTGAACCTTTCTTGTGCCTCATTTCCTGAGGAAGCGAAGCCTCTGCGATCGTGCTGCCTGGCTGCCCACCACCACCTCTTCCTCTCCCTCCCTGCCATGATTGCTGAATTTGGCTCATTTCAGCTAAATCTGAGAGAGGGAAGGAGGCCCCAGCCCATACGGAACAACAGCGGTGGGACAGCAGAAAGACACATATGAGGGAAAACTTTGGTATCGCAGCCCCTTACCCAGTCCAAGAGCAGCAAAGGAGCTTCAAAACAGATTCCTTTTAATTTATCCACTTCATCTTTAAACAGATGGCTACCGAAGGCGAGGAGAAATTGAAGTGACTCGCCAGAGTTGCTGCCGTCGGTCAGTTCTGCGGGAGCCGGCACCGGGCAGGCAGAGCCTCGGGGCCGCGTAACGCAGGTGAAACGGCCGCGGAGACGGGGCTGCAGGTTCTGGCGTGGAGCAGGAGGTCCCACTGCAGATCGCTGCGTGCGGCCTGCGAAGCCGGCGCGCTTGCTTGGATTTGGTCCGCAAAGCGCGGCGAGCACCCGGCGTCTTCAGGAATGAGATTAGCAAGGGGGTGGATTCCCCTCGCACCTATGCCCAGGGCTGAATTGGAACCGGAGCAAATGATTTGCGAGGGTCCCTGCTGTTGATGTGAGGAGCAGAACATTTCACACATGTTTAATAGGACTGATAAAATTGAAGTACACTGAACGGCACACCTGCTTGGCCTTAAGCGCGAGCGCTGCCATCGAGTTTACTCAGCAGTGAGATCGGCCTCGTAGAAGCTTTCCCGGTCCAAGCGCAGCCGGGGGCCGGCGGACGATAGCACCGCTGTGGAAGAGGCAGCGGGCGCGGGGCGCGGGGCGGCGGCAGGACGGGGCGTCCAGCGGGGTCGGGTTTTGAGGCGTCTTAATTTCATTTTCCTAACGAGGTGGGTGTCGAGCCTTCCTGGCCCCACACCGGTTTGTAAGGGCGCTCGGGGGGCTCCGAGGCTGTTCCGGGGCAGCCCCTGCCTGCACCCCTCGCCCTCCGGGCCGCGCT